GAGATACTTCTAACTATCATATATAGACTTCCTCTCTATAAATATCCAACATACCTAAGTAGTTTGTCGCAAACTGTAGTTCTATATCGTCTTTGAAAGCATGAATGGAGTTGCCCATTATTTCTGCATTATTACTTGCAGTAAAGGAAAAAAAAAAAGGAACAAAATCATCTCTGAACTTTGTGTCATACTACGAAGCATGTAACTCTGAGTCAGTAAGAGAAATAGAATTAAATGGAACCAAAGACAAGTTCATGAACTCTACGAGATTTGCCTCTTCTGAGTCTTACATTAGGAGGTTCAAATGAAGACCTTTCGAATTGAAATCTGATGCAAATTTCTTTACAGATGCCATTGAGCTAAGATCCAACTCCATAGCATCAACTTTAGCAGTGGGGATTTCCTTAACAATTGCTTCTTTGACATTTCTGCCTGCTGCCATATTCCTTACTGCCATAATCACATGGACTCCTCGCAACGCAAGAACTCGTGAGGTTTCAGTGCCTATTCCATTTGATGCACCTATTTCGAAAAGCAAAACAAGAAGAAACAGGCAGATAACTTTGTCAACACTTAAACTAATCAAAACAGCTGCTTCATGCGCTATGCACCACCAATAGTATCCAGTATGGGAAAAAAATAAAACAAAACCCGATTGAGTTGTCCTAAAAGCAATATCCTCTGAGTTTGGTCATCGAAACTTTTAGCCAAAAATATCATAACCTAACTTGAGATTGTGTTTAGAACAAATGACCTTTATTTGTGGAAATCAAAATGAATTCCTTGTGTATTTTAACAGTTATGGCAAGGTAAAGATCTGTTACAGAACCATAAAAGTTGAATTTTTAAAACAGGATGAATTTTAAATTCTACCTGAGAAAAATTGCGTAAGAATTAAAGTATTTATTTTTACAATATTGTAAGAGATTTTTATTCTCTCATAATTAAAATGTGCTAGAAGAAATTATAGGGGAAGTATATTTGTTCCGTATATAGCTTACTTTCGTAGAAGTAAATTCTCATAAGAAAATGTCTAAAATGCTTGTACATTTTGTAATGGAATGAGCAATTATACAAGTCATGCGACTCACGAATCCAAGCTCGGGTACTCAACATAGCTATTAAGGCATATTTATTAGGGTTCGTATCCATCACATCAACCAACCCTGAACTAGTCATTCACCATTATCAACGAGTTCAAAAGGGTTTACTCAATGTCAACGACAACGTAAGAACAAAAAATGAAAAGTAAACCCAAACCATAATACATAAAAACAAAAGCATGCACAAAAAAAAAAAAAAAAATTAGAGAACTGAGATTGACCTGTAACAATGGCGGTGAGACCAGTCCCGTCTATCCCCTGAGTAACCTCCTCCGCCGTTGATGAGCCCGAGAACCCAGATTCTTTCCCGCTAAAAGGCCACATCTTTCTCTCTCCCCTTCTCTCTCTCTCTCTCTCTCTCTTTCTATCTCCGTCTCTGCTGCAATAAGCTCACTGGCGACTGATTTTATAACGCGGAGATGCTAAGAGGGTGAAAAGATAGATTGGGACGAGGCAAAGTGGCAAAATGGTGACCTTGTGGTCCGGCCAAACCTGTCCCAGTTCTGTGGATTTGTGGGTGACGTTGCTGGATAATGTACTGAGAAAGAGGACGTCCATCTGTTTTCGCTTACGTGTTTGATGCTCGTGAGCCATAATTTTCTTGAATTACATATAAAAACAGATGCAATGAATGTGCATTTGATTCAGCTTTTGCTTTTTGAGCTTAAAAATCACATTTTTTTTTATTTATCAAACAGAATAAAAAAGTTAACTGCTTTAAAAATCTGTTTTTTATATGGTTTTATTAAAAAAAAAAACATATAATTGAAATTTCAAAATTAATTTTCACTAATTTCTCTATTTTTTTAAAAAATAACATTACTTTTATAATTATTTTCATTAAATATTAAATAATTTATTATTATTATTTTATTTCTTTTATTAAATTATTTTTTTTAAAAATAAAAAATAAAACATTTCATGTGAAATATCCGAATTAATTAATATTATTATTTATTATCATTAATGACGAAACAATTACCTGTATTAACAAATAACGACCAACCGCAGACATTAACGTTTGAAACTTGAA